TAGAGTATCTAGTTCAAACTCCCATTTTACAGACGAGGAAATAGAGGCCAGAGAGGGGAAGAGATTTGATAAGAGGTGCCTTGGAAGTTAAAGGCAAAGTTAAGGTCTCCTGATCATCTTCCCTGTACTCATTACATGATACCAAGCACTCAGCACTTGTGAATTTCCATGTACTTCAGTTCCAGGAAGTGGGATCGATGCTGTGAGAGATGCTCAGGCTATTTCTTGAGAGGCAGTGTGGCTTAGTGGGAAAATCACTGGACTGGGAGTCAGGAGAGACCTGAGTACAAATCCCAAGTCTGATATACACTTAATGAGTGACCCTGGGAAAGCCATTGAATTCTCAGCCCAAGAAGATTCTTACTCTTTAAAGTAAGGATAATAAAAGCATCAACCTCCCAGGGCTGTTGTGAAGAATGAGTGAGATAATATGTGTGAGTTCTTTGCAAACTTTAAATGCTATGTAGATATTAGCTGTTTTTAGGATGGTTTGAAAATCTTCTCAAAGATGTTCACTTAAGGTACCCGTTCAACAATGTCTTACGATTTCCATTTAAATTGGAAATTAAATTGGAATTTAAATTTCCATTTACATTAAATTTACGATTTTCCATTTAAATGGAAAATCCACATTTGTGTCTTGTCTGGCCTTTGTGTCACGATGTCTGATTTATAAATGGCCTGTTCAGCAATGGGAAGAGTCACATTTGGAGTGGAGCAATCAGCACTTTGTCCTGGGGTGTTCACATTTGGGGGGTGGGGATGATCACCTGCAATGTTGTAACAACATAGAAATAACTGACCTTGGCACCCAATTGCTAAGAGTAATTAGTTGAAGTAAGAAACTCCCACATACCCCAGGTGATCCCTCCCTAGGCTGGCTCAAGCTTCTTGATTCTACCCTGCTATAGATACACACACACCCACACTCACATGCCAGTGGCCTCTTGGGCTCCCAGGACACATTTTAAACTGTTTCCCTATTTACTCAGTTTATTAAAGTCGCTAGTTATGGTTCTGGCACTGGGAGCCCCAGAAGAGCCACATTAATTTTTTTTAACAAAACTTTAGATAGTTAAACAATTTACCCTTATTAGTCAATCAATCATTAAACTTTTGTTAAGTGCCTACTATGTGCCAGACACTGTACTCAATGCTGTTAAATGCATAAGTCAAGGGTCACAAAGCATGGATAGGGAATCTGTAGTCCTGGCTTTCAATGGGACCGAGAGCAAATTCAGCAAAGCTTGTGATACGAAAGCTGAAGATTAAGTTAATGAACATCACACCGTTACATGATCATGATGAGTGGTTGGGGAGCATAATGGCTCAATCTTCAGTTAGCTAGAAAATTCTGTTTCCTAGTGCACTCCTTTGCCGTTCATACTGATTAGCTGAAGTGTGTCCACCATAGACCTGGCAAGTAAGATCACACATGAAGTCAATGGCAAAGTCAAGGATTCAAACTCAGGTCTTCTGACTTCCAAATCCATTGCTCTGTCCACCACCTTTGAGAATGATACTTGATATAACTTGATAAATACACTAGAGAGCATGACTAGTCTCTTCTGTCTTCAATGTTGGACATTTTACTGTCTAGGAAATTCTGAAATGCTGCCTAGTAAAGCCAACAAGCATTTATTAAGTACTTACTGTGTGCTAGGCATGGTGCTAAGTCCTGGGGATACAAATACAAGTAGAAAACTTTCTCTCAGAATAGGATCACAAATTTAGAGGTGGAAAGGACCTAAGAGGGCATCTAGCCCAATTCCCTCATTTCACAGATGAAGCAGAAAGAAAGGCAGCCCCTGCTCTTGAGAAGCTTACATTCTAACAGGGGAAAACAACAGATAATAGGAAACTTTTAAGGGAACAGGTAGGGACAAGGTACTCACTGGTGAGCATGATGGAGAAAGTCTACGGAGTCGGAGGAAAATCAGAAGCAGAGCCTGACGAGGCATGAAGATGTGCCTGATCTGGGCACTTGACTTAAGTTGGAAGATCTAGAAACATCCATCATCTTCAGGGAAGGGAAGTGACCATTTCCCAGATTTGAGAGTGAGGGTCAGAGCAGACTCTCTGAGGATCCTAAATTGGAGAATCTATTTGTTTTTCTTTGCCTTAATCCTTTTCAAAAGAAAAGCAAAGTACTTCATGAAGGATGATAGAATGAAGAGGTTGATGTTTTATTAGCACGTCCCTGTTCTGATAGGCAAATAAGCAATTGAGTGTTCTTCGTTATGTGAGCTTTTTATTGTCTTTCTCTTTCATCATGAAAATATGAAGGAAGTCATTCATGTTTAGACTAAGGAAGAAAAAAAGAGGTTAACTGCTATATATACACTCATATATTTAAGATATATACATATACATGTATACACATGCACGCATACATGTATAGATATATACACACACATATAAATATAAAAATATATATGTATATATATGTATATGAATATGTATATGAGAGATGCTTCTCTTGTGTATTTCAGAATACCAGAAATGATGTCTGTTTCTAGACTGGTTTTTCTTGCAGGGAATGTTGGTCCTTTTGAAGCACAAGGCACAGAATGCCAGATGTGAAACTAGGAAGCATGCCTGCTTTGTCTTCATTTAGGCAGCATGGTTGAGTAGAAAGAGAACAGGATCTCAAACTGGAGGAGCCAGGTTAGAGCCTAGACGCCCTGGCTAACTGACTGAATGACCTTAGGCAAGTCACTTCATCTCTGTGAAATGAGGGGGTTGGATGCCCTCTCTAAGGTCCCTTCCACCTCTAAATTTGTGATCCTACTCTGAGAGAAGGCTTTGCTATCAGTCATTTACAATTGAGTGTAAGTTGGTCCCAGTTCATAGCATTTTGAACTAAAAGAGTTCTTAAGTATCATCTAGCCTGACTAATTGGAGACATAGAAGCTTGTGAGATGAATTAAATTGCCCACAGTTGCATAGTTAATAAATAGGTGAGTCAGGATTTGAACCCATGTCTTCTGACTCTAGATCCAGCACTCAAGCCACTGAACCCCAGCTCACTCGTTGGCTTTCTAGCCTCTTACTGAGGACAGAAGCCCTTAGATTTCTGGGAAAGTGATGTCAGGCATCAGCCAGGATCTGGGGAGAAGGGGCAGGAAGCTCTCAGTCTAGGTCCCTTTCCTGCCTTGTGAGTGTGAAGCCACCTTCATCACCTCTGAGTATGGTCAGATTAGGTTCTGTCCGGACAATTTCATTCTCTTCCTCCCTTTTGAATGACTCCTGAAAGGATGTGTGCAAAAGCCCTGGTGGGCTCTGGTATACAGTTCACTCTGGAGCTCTCTTGGGGCTAAAGGCTAACTAAGTGGAAGGAGACACAAAGCCCCCTGGGAGTTACATCAATGAAAAACAAACAAACAAACATCTGGAGTTTGGCTTTATCTTACCCGCCCCGGTCTGCTGCCAATTCTACCGTAACTCTTTCTGTTCAACCATAGATTTGGGGAGGGGGGGAGTGTAATGAAGGGAGGAGCCTGTTTATAATGGCAGAATAGCTTTCTCAGTTGCCCAATTCAGGACATTTAAAAAGCCCAACAATTAATCAAGGCAGCAGTAAGGTGGCATAGCTCTGAATTTGTCATGGAGCTGTGAATTCCGCTGTCTTAAAGTGTTCTCAGATGTATGGTGTCTGGAAACCAAAGGGGTTTTTTCTTCTTTTTCTCTCTTTCCTTTTCTCCCCCCCCCCCCACCTTTTCCACTGAGGGTTAGTAACACACTATACAACTTGTCCCAGACTGAATTAGTTAATCCACCCCTCCCCCACACACATTCCCCCCTCCCATTTCTGACAGAGGAATCTCCTGGGATTGTCTCTTACTCCTTGACTGTCATATCTAATTGGTTCCCCATTTTTCTTGACTCTAGCTAATCCTCCATTGTATTACTTCTCCAGAGTCTCTTATATTTCTTAATTTCCCTACCACCTGCCTAGGCTATTGTAACAGCCCCTAGTTTGTCTTCCCCTTTCCAGGTCCTTCCTCTCTCAAACTAATTCTTTTTTCAGAGGGAAGAAAGAAAAACGTTATTTTGCCCTTAAAAAAGATACATAGGTGTCATTTCCTAATTTCCAACGACTTCCATTTCCCCTTCTCTTCACACTCGATAGAATCAATCGATTGGCAAGTATTTATTATGTTCTACTATGTGGCAGGCATTTTGCCAAGTATTGGGAATCCAAATATAAAAATAAAACTGACCCTGCCCTCAAGGTGCTTACATTCTATTGAAAGGATGCAGTATATTCACAAATAAGTCAATAGAGGTACATCAGATGCAAAGTATCTTGGGCTTAGGGGGTACTAAGAACTGGGGGATCTTGAAGAAGATGTCATTTGAATTGAACCATAAAGGGAGCTGGGAGTTCTAAGAGGCAGAGGTGAGGAAGGAGATCATTCCAGGCCTGGGGTAACCTTCCTTTGTAACAAAGAAGCCCAGTTAAAAACCAATCAACCCATTGGCCATGCCTGACAATGTGTGTCTCATTCCACACCAATAGTCCATCACATTTCTGTCAATCCATTACTCACACTACTACCAAACTAATATTCCTTGAATATAAATCTGACCATGTCACTCCTGTGTTCAAACCTACTCAGTGATTCCCCTTGGCCTAGCAGACAAAACCCACCCATGCTTATTAGGATGCCAGAGCTTGGGAAGAAAGCTTCAAGATGATGGAGCCCAAACCTCTCTTATGATAGGTGGGGAAACTGAGATCTTGATTTTATCAAGATCACTGAACTATATCAGTGGCAGACTCAGTACTATATACCTTAGGCCTTTTGCCCCTACTTTCTGGTCCTTCTTTCATGGTCCCCATTGACCATGCTGCCTCCTCTCTTTTTCTCCTGGAAAAAAAAAGGCAGTATCTTTCCCAGCAGGCTGGATTTTTCTGCTAACCCAGGCCTAATGGGAGAGTATTGGGCCCATAACAAGATGAGCTGGAAACTAAACTGTGCCATCTTCTCTCTTAGCCACCAGAGAAGGAAGGTGCCCTGCCCCGTCAGGTGGGCAACAAGACTGAGTGTGGCTTGCTGGGGTTTGTCCTGGACCTGAAGCAAGATTATGAACCTGTGAGGAGCCAAATGCCTGAGGAGAAGCTGTACAAGGTGTATACCTTTAATTCCGTCAGGAAGTCCATGAGCACAGTGATTAAGATGCCCGATGAAAGCTTTCGCATGTATAGCAAAGGGGCATCAGAAATTGTCCTGAAAAAGTAAGTATCCAAGGCTTATGGCCAACTTCTCCTGTTCACAGCCAGTTCTAGAACTGGAAGGAACCTCCAAAAGGTGATCTAGCCTAGCCTCATCGCCTTCAGGCAGGCAAAGAAAAGTTTAAACTGGGGTGGGGAAACCTGTGGCCCTCTTGGTTCTCAAGTATGGCCCTTTGACTGACTCTTTCTGTCAAAGGGCCACACTTGAGGATCTAGAGGACATGTGTGGCCTTGAGGCCACAGGTTCCCCACCCCTGAGGCCATGCAGGATGATTGTCTTTTGATGGATTTAGAGATCGGTAGCACATTGGAGCAGAAAGAGACCCCAGAAGTAATTTAGACCAATCCCCTTGGGGAAACTGAGGCCCAGGAAGTGACTTATGCAGAGTTGTACAGTAAATTACTGAGTTGATATTAAAACCCAAGTCTTCAAACTTGCAGGTCAGATCATCTCGAAAATCTCTATATTTTATCTTTACATTTTAGATTCATAGTTCTCTCTTTGTTTTGGGATGGGTGTTTTGGGAGGGTGTGATGAAGTTTCCTCTTGGCATTTGTTAGTGGCACCTTGTTTGTGATTGTGGATAAGAATAGAATAATGGAAAGAATATGGCACTGGGAGTCAGAAGAACTGGGTTCAAATCCTGACTTTGTGCCTCACTTGATATTTGGGCTGAAGCAAGCTGCTCAGCTTTCCTGGCTCTACATTTCCTCATCTCTCAAATGCCCAAGGTCCAAACGAGTCAGTTGCAAAGCCAGGACTAGATTCCAGATCTCTTGACTGCTGTCCTGGGCCTCTTTCCCCCTCTCAAAGTGCCTGACTCATTTCAAAGGAGTGACTTGAGATCCCCAAGACCTGTGTCCACTGGTCCAGCAAGTGGCTTATTTCTGGTGGGTGTTATATCCCAGAGAGTGGCCATCCACTGCATCTTCTGCCTATCGCATATGTGAAGCACTCCCTGAAGACAGTGTGAAATAGAGGATAGAGCACTTGATTGGAAGTTAGGAAACCAGGCACCTTAGCTGCTTTCTACTTCTATGGCTTTAGCCTAGTTTCTCTAGGCCAGAGCTTCCTTTTTTAAAATGAGTGGTTGGCACAAGATTGTAGGACTAAAGATTTAGACCTAGAAGGACCTCAGAGGTAACCTAATGCACCTCCATTTACAGAGAGATGAACTGAGGCCCAGGCAGGCTCAGTGACTTATCCAAAGTCACACAGGTAGATGTTAGTTGTTATAAGGAAACATGTTGTAAATGAGTACTGTTAACCCATTAGGACTGGACTCATGATTTCATTGACAGAGAGAAAAATTTTCCTCTACCAAAGCAAATTGACATCTTTTCTGCATCTTAGAGTCTTAGAAGTTGACTCGTGCACAATTAAGTGTCTTGTTTAGAATCACTCAGCCATTAGGTGTCAGAAGAGAGACTTAAACTCAGGCCATCCTGGTTCTGAGACCCACATGCTATCCACCATACCAATTCCCTCTCTTACCATACTCCAGGGTCATGGAGCAGCACATCCCTAGGAGGAAAGAAAATGCTTGAGCCTGAATTATGTTCATAATTTCGGTGGCAAAGACCTGATCTTACTGCATCCATCTAAGGATAGGAAAAAGTAAGGCATGTGGCTGGGCTTACCCATAGTGTAGAGGAAAACAGAGTTCTCTAAAATCCCCCAAAGAATGAGTGAGCATTTATTAAGTACTGATTATACTTCAGGCATTGTGCTAAACACTAGGGCTGAAAAAAGTAAGATAATGTTTGACTTTAAGTAACTTACATTCAAACCCCCATTAATCCCATTATCCCAATACTTCCAAATTGATCAGCCAACTGAGTTATTGTCTGCCTTTCTTTCAGATGCTGCAAAATCCTCAGCCCAGCTGGTGAGGCACGAGTCTTCCGACCCCGAGACCGAGATGAGATGGTAAAGAAGGTGATTGAGCCTATGGCATGCGATGGCCTCCGAACCATCTGCATAGCTTATCGAGATTTCCCAAGTAGCCCAGAGCCTGACTGGGAAAATGAGAATGATATCCTCAATGATTTGACCTGCATCTGTGTGGTGGGCATAGAAGACCCTGTGAGGCCAGAGGTAGGTCCCATGTTTAACCTAGATCTTTTTTGGTTTTGTTGGTCCGTAGTTGTGAGGGATGGAGGAGTGAGGATTTATGGATTGAGTAGGTCTGCCAAGGGCTTTGGCCGTTTAATCTGTGAGACTCTGTACTTCAGGATAGGGCGTTACCCGCCCCCCCCCCACTTCTTCTTTTCTGAGCCAATGGACCAAGCTGTTTTATAATTGCTCTATTCCTGCCCCACAAATGCCACCCACAGAATGATTCATTGAAATGTCACAGGTAACTTGTCATTTACTTCCCTATCAACCTTCTTTTATAGCACCTTGACCCTTCAGTCATTTTTGGATGGCGTCAAATACTTCATTTTGTACTGTTGGAAAGGTCTCATCCAACCACTGGCAGACAGGCAGACCTGTCTGTAATTGGGCCGAGCAACACATGAAGTGTAACTATAATGTAATAAGACTGGAAACAGATAATGTTGCCATCCATTTTGAGTGCTATCCTCTTCAAATTTGGGTAACTTTACACTTTCTTGAGTGGTATTGCCAGTGCTCAGAATATTTTTAGAATTGCCCCATGGGAATTGCCTTTTGAAGACACAATAAAATGACAAATTTTCACCTTTCAAAGGTGGATTTGATTTTGGGAAATGTCCAAAATCATTCAAGTGCAGAATCATGTTGAGAAATCTTGTTAATGGTTCAAACTAAGGTATGATTGTCACATAATGAAACTGATTTACATTTGTGATTGGTAAACTCAGTTTTACTGAAGCCTTCCTATAATGCTTTGAGTCTGGCAATCTTATTGGAATGAATATAGAGTCTTCTCTAATGACTACATGGAAAGGCAAAACCCATGAGGTTGCTGGTTTGTCTGATCTTCTCTGTTTAAAATTTCATTACTTTTTATCACATCTCATATGTGGCCCTGCCCATTTATAGATAGGTATACTAGTCTGTAAAATGTCTAGACATGACATGCCTAGGTGTTTAGAACTATTTCATGCTGTTCACAAAAGAGTTTGTGTTGGCATCCTCTGAAAGAGCATTGTAATATACATGTCAAGTGACCCTTGACTAGAACTAAGTAGAATAAACTAAACACTGAACCTATTAGAAGATACTTAGAAGACATTCAGATGCTAAGAACATTACTAGCATGACTTGGAAAGATAGGAAGCTGTCAACAACTCATTTCCACTGGGACAGAGGTCTTTTCATTCTGTTTTTCTCAAGGTAGTTGAAGTCACTCCTGAGTTCTCCACTCCTGCGCAAAACCCTTGTGCCTATATACAAATGGTCAGGTTTCCACAGCTGTGATCTCTGAGACCACTTGGAAAAAAGTGAGTTTGAGAGGTTGGACAATGCTGAAAGTAAGCTGATAACACTTCAATCAACAATGTCCAACTGATGATAGTGAGAAGCCCTTCATCTAGCTCCTGGCAAGGGACTAGATAAAGGTCAACAGTCAGAAATGTTGCTTGTTTTTAAACAAAAAAGCTAGGAAATGCATCATGGGTAGTGCTGGCCCCTCAAGGGAACTGTCTTTCTCTCTTCTGCTGGACTTGCTTCTCCCAAATTTGCATTTGTTCCTAGAGCTGTAGGTAACTAGGGAGTTAGAAGGCATTATTTTCCAACTGTGTCTAGTTTGGAGATGGTAGCCTCTTATACCAGATGTATGCCTTACTATCTTCTAATAATAATCTTGTATTTAATGAGCTGTTTACCTGTTCTGTCCCTTAGTAGAATGTAAGCTCTTTGAGGGTAGGGTCTGGTTTTGTTTTATTATTATATGCCCAACACCTTATACAAGTAGAAGCCACTTAAATACTTGTTCAATTGCATTGCTTTGCTTTGCATTGAATTGGATTTCTCCATTGGTTCTGTGTCTCTCATTGATATCTTGCCTTACATGGGACTACTCCAGAGCTTCTTTGAGTATTCAGTGTCTTTTCTTTTAGTGGAATTTTGAAACCAGTCTATAAAGCCCAAATGTTTGGGCCATTTTAGATATAGTGCTAACACCATGATAGCTGCTTCTTTCAGTTCTATAGATGGCAGCTATAGGCTTCAGTGTTACTTCACTGGAGGCCCCTCATGTGTTGACTCCTTTGCCTAGGTGAGTTCTGCAGAACCTGAGACAGCCGACCTCTTGGGTTAAGAGTTCTAATTCTCCTCTTGAAATCCCTAATATCACTTCCTTTAAAAAATATTATGGTACTTTGAAGAGGATGGTAGCATGAACTTCATTCAAAAAAGTCATGATAGCCACAAAAATTTCAAAAGAACTTTAAAATAATTATGATAATACTAAATTCTGACCATAACAAGAATGAAAAACAAAGAGTTCCTACTAATAGGGATACTTCCAAGAAGACCTACTTACGTAATATGCATAGTTGTGTGTGTTTTTTTTAAATTTATGAACGAGTTCTTTTTCCTGATAAGCTCCTGATTCTGAAACAGAGTAATTACAATTTCTCTTTCCTGGATTGTATTTTATGTTATTCTTTTGTAATTAATGATGCAAGGAAGTGCTTGCATCACATGGTCATAATTTAATCATTCTAGTACCGGCCCTGCCTGTGGGATCATTGAATTACTATTGGTGATCGTTATGGGAATGGGAAAAAGGAAGAGGTGCTTCTGCCAGAAGATGGGCAAATATGGTCCCAGTTTTGAAAAAGAAGAAATGTCACAGTATAGATGCTGCAAAGTGTAGGCTAATGACCGTGATGCTGATGACCTGTTTCCTTGTTTATTAAACAGATTATAAATGCTTAGAAAGGGAAAAAAGAGATGATCACTATGATCCAATGTTGGTTCATGACGATCAAATCATCTCAGACAGACCTCATATCCATTTTAGCAGGATTACTAGAGTGACAGATTAGAGAAATATTATATATTCTTCAATTTGTTAAAGCATTCAGTACTTCAGAAACAGGTAAAAATTTGTGAACAGAATTCTAAAATACAATTACTTTTTATGTAATTTCTTCTAACTAATATAAAATAGTAATAGGTCATTAATACTCATTAATGAAGAAATGTAATAAATCCAATAAAAGACTTTATAGTAAAATAAATTTGAATAGAACATTTCATTTTACCAAAGAAATAAAAAATACTGTAATTATGACTTACCTCCCAAGCAGCTGATCTCTGAAGCATAGGCGTGGTGGTGGTGCTCTTTGTTGAAGGAATTATTCATGTGTTACTTGAATGCTCTGTACACAGAACAAAAAATTCACTGAGTTAGAGGATATTATAGGATGACCTATAATGCATTTATACTTAATGTAGTCATCCATCAAGTAAAGCAGGAAATTGTAAAAGCCTATAAACAATGAGTCACTCATGAGTAAAGGCATTTTTGTTGTTTTTCTTATAAAGAACATATTCTTCAAAAATCAAAATTAGAGTCAATAAAATGGTTTTAGGAACATTTGTAACATGCAGATTTGTAATCTAGGAGATTGGTAAACCTGTATATTTCCACAGATCATTTGAGGAAGTCTCATATCTCATAGAAAAGATAGAGAATTATGGATTTTATGATAACACAGTTAGTTGGAACTCAGACTAGTTGAATCACCAAACCCAAAGTATTGATTAATGACTTGATGTAAACCTGAAAAGAAGTCTCTAATGAAGTTCCCTGGTGCTTCATTCTCTTCCTTGTTCTGTTGTTCACCATTTTTATCCATGGCTTTGATTAAGGCACAAATAGACTACTCATCAGATTTGTAGATGACACAAAACTGTCAGGGAAAGCCTAAAGAGGACAACAAAGCTATGATTTAAAAAAAAAAAAAGAATCTTGGCAGGCTAGAATGATGGGCAAATTTAATGAAATAAAATGCAAAATATAAGATGGAAGAGATCTAACAAGAGACAGTAGAGAAAAAAATGCAATGGTTGTTGAACTTGGACAAATTTCATATATGGAAGTAGGGAGTCTTGATAAATATAAGTGGTAGAAAATTAGGAGTTTCTCTCCATCCTGGATAAGGTAGATGGTTGTCTGAATATATCTTGATCAGACTCCATCTTTGTGATTGTTTTTGAGTTCTGGTCACAACATTTTGGGAGAGATTTTGACAACCTGGGCTAGGCCACTATTATGGGGACCATGTCCTATAAGTATTGGTTTAGGGAACTGGAGTTGTTTATCATGATGGAAAGAAGACTTGGGAGGAATCATGATCTCAATCTTTACACTCTCTGGGGGGCTGTCATATGGAAAGATTAGGTTTACTTTGTCCTCTGAGAGAAGAGCTAAGATCAATGAGGGTAAGTTTCAAAGAGGCAGATATGGTCTAAATATAAGAAGGAATTTCCTAACATTTAGAGCTTCTTACAAACAGAAGGGGCTGCCTTGAGAGGTGAGTTTCCTGCCACTGGAGGTGTTCAAGCAACATCTGAGCATCCACTTTTGTTGTAGAAAATATTTCTGTTCAAGTAAAGATTCACTTAGATGACCTCAGAGGTCTTTTCCCTCCATAACGTTTTGTAGGTCTCAGAGTTGTAGTTCAGGAAAGGGACTTAAAAACCTCATTTTACAGATAAGGAAACTGAGTCCCAAAGAGGTGAAGTGATTTGCCTCTGGTCACAGAAATGCTAAGAAACAGAATAAGGGTCCTAGTCCAGATTTTCAGACTTCAAATTTGGTGCCCTTTCCACTACACTCACTATCCCTGATTTTATGTCACCTTAAGTCCTGTCTGGGACTCAGTTTCCTTCTAATCCATGGTCTCAGTCCTTCGACCAAGCAGCATTGGATCTATCATCTAAAGAGTGAATCAAACCGATATCTCAGAGAACTCGATTTTCTTATTTAGAAAACAATGATCTAGTAGATATGACTAACTACCTGATTAAAAAAAATATTTGTTGGCCAAAAACAATTAGAATCATCGAATTTTTAATTCACAGGATCATTAAAACCATAGGATGCTAGAGTTGAAAGGGACCTTTGAGATCAATCTGGTCCAACCCCTTCATTTTAC